TCTCATGTGTTGGGGGCATGCAGTGAATCTCGAACTCTCTTTTATATGTGTAATGAGAAGTGGTTCATGGATTGATAATCTTAACAGTGTTGTATATGCGTTATTGTCATATAAGATGGTTATGTAATGGCCTATGAGCCTTGTTTTGTTTGGGAGTTAACTGTTGAGAATGGGTAACCCATGGATTGTTGTAGTTAGTGGTGTTGTGCGGTGAGAACGAATTATAAGGCTTGAATGTGTTGAGTATACAGGAATGTGAGACTTTAGAGTTTTGCAGACCTGCCAGGTTACACGGGAATATTTTGCGGGAGTGTGAGATTTGGATTTCAAGTTAGTAAGGGTGGTACTTGTGTGTGTGGTTTAGTGTTCTGGTTTTGTTGGCCAATGAGTCATTGCGATCCTATTGATCATGGTAAGGGTAATGTTTGTGTTGTGGTTGTTATGAGTTGGTATGGGTTTGCGGTGTTATTAGATATTGGATGGAGCTTATGAATGTGAGAAGAATTTAGTGGGTAAACGCTAGAAGTATTCCTTGGAAGGAAGTAAGGTTGTGTTCTAGAGTGACGAGTGTGGCATTGGTGAGGATTCTTTTGTGCCCAGAATTCTGTGAATATTGCTGACCATATCGGTCTTATGTTCGAAAGGTAAGGGGGTATTTGCCATGTAAGCATATGAGTGGTGGTTTCCTTGGAAATGATGATACTATGGCCAAATCTTCAGGAATCCAGTGAGATTCAAGGAATATAAGGACTTGTGTGTGGCACTCTCTCTTAGAGTAAGTGGTGTTGGGTAGCATGTCCGTGTTTGGTACCGAGTGTAAAGTTTTATTGAGCTGGTTAGTCAGTTGCTTGATATTTGTTTGGTTAACATGTAGTCACCTTGGGAATAGCTTGGGCTAGTGTGCGAGGTTGTAAGGTTGTGGGTGCATTAGAGTGGTTTGGCGAGCAGTAAGTCTCGTGTAAGTGGTTGTGAAGATTGTGGAAATTGTGGAAAATCCTCTGGTTAAGGTAACGTATTGTGAACTCTTCATTTTGTGTGTGCAGTATGCCTCGTGTAGCTGATAATTTATGATGATGGTATGACAGAATGGAATTGCAAGATAGTGGATTCCTTTGTTTTGTGTTTGTGCCTTATTGTGCTGATAGCACAGTTGTAATTTCTATTAATTGTTATTATAGAAATGTTATGTTTATGTTGGTTGTGGAATCCCTATAAGGGTGATGGGAGTTGTTGGGTGACTGTGGAGGTTTACCAATTTGTCTTATGTTGAGAAACGAAATCGGAAGATGAATTTTTCCTTATGTTGTAGCCTCATATGGCAATGTTGAACTATAATGTTTTGGATTTAATCTAAGTGCTAATAAATGATTTCGACGCGTAGTTTATTTGATTTAATAAATGCTGAATTTAACAAAGTATGATAATGTGAATGATTCAGTGTTCTGAGTAACACTTTATTTTATTGTTGGAAGATGGTTGCAAAAATTTTAAGAAATTACTTGGAAATCGAGAACGTATTTTGGTTATGGAAACCTTCAAAGAAAAGGAGAAAATGTGGAAAATTTATTTATTTTGTTTTATTTTATTTTTTTACATGCTTGTGTTGGAAATAATGTCACCTTTTTGTGTGTGGTTTGTTTTATGCTGTGATGGGAAGGTTGCAGCATTTGTATCCTTTAAAACTTTTGGGAAGTGTATTTGAATCATTTATTTTATTTTGGGAATCTTTAGTACTGTTGTATCTTAGTTTTGGAGGAGTAAAAATTGATTTAAACTTGTTTGAATTGTTCGTTCACGCTTGTTTACGTTGAAAAGTTGTTTGGGAACTTAGAAATCTTGTTCTGGGGTTGACACCAGTTTTGGTGGTGTCGACACTTGCCTTTTCTTATTGGCCTCAAGGGTCGACACCAGTTTGGGAAGGGTCGACCCTTGTCTATTGCTGAATCTGGAATTGGCTACTGAAATTTAGGGTCGACAACAAGGGTTCCAAGGGTCGACCCTTGCCGGCTGCACACATTAGTGTCTCAGCTTTTCTTTCTGAAGGGTCGACACCTCTATCTGAAGGGTCGACCCCTGTGTGTAATTTTCAGATTTTTGGGACGGTTTGGGCCCTACTTTTTGAGGGTTTTTGACTTGTTCTTTTCATTTGACTTTGGGGCTAATGTTCTATTAGTGCCTAGCCACTATAAATAGGTTCCAAAACACTTTCCTCTCATTACTTTTCCTTCTCTTTTCCTCTTAAATCGTGACTTCTCTCTTCTCTCTCTAAACTTAACTTTTTCACACTTAGATCTTCAGATCTACTCACCTAGAGCCATCTTTTCACCTTGGCCCTTTGGAAAAGGTTGTAGATCTTGTCAAGGGCTTTCTATTTATCGGAGTGGTTCGTGGTTTCGTCACCGGTGATTTTTGGGTTGTCTCCTCTTCATTTCAAGAGGTAGGGATTTCTTGCTCCTCTTCACTACTATGTCTATAGATAGATATGTGGTAAATTTTTATTGCATAAAAGCCATGTATATTGGAGTTCTTTTTGAAAAATCATATGAGAGATATTTAGGGTTTACTTTGGGGTTGGAAATCATCATATAAATTGTTGTTTGGATTCTTTAGGGAGTAGTTTAGCATGTTGATATTGAGAGGGAGAAAAATATCTAATTTAATATTATAGACTTAATAGATTAAAGATGAGAGAAAGTTGTGTAATATTTTGTGCTTGATTATATGGATTGTGTAATTGTGTTAACTGATAAAAGGGTGGATTAACCATGGTATTGGAATTATTCTTAATTAATCATGTTAAATTGAGTTGAGCTATGGCTTTGACATTCATGGCTTTTAGTTTTCTAAAACAAGGAGAATGGAATTAGTTTTGTAAATTAAAGATGATGGATTTCGGATAATGATTTGAACATGTTAACTTGGAAAACAAAAGAGTTGATTTTCATAAGAGAAAGAAACCATGGCATATTGTAAATCTATAGCTGATGCTTGGGGATGGATTTTAAAGATTTTGAATATCGTTATTATCATTATTGTTGGGACTTAAGGTCAAGTGAATATCGGATTATTATATTGTGTGTATTTAAATATTTATGCTTTGAGGTTTTGTCATTGGTCATTGGTGGAGGATGATGTTGTGATATTGAATAGATTATGTGTATGTAGTACACTCAGGTTATTTATATTTGTTGAATTATGTGATGGTTGGGAATGTACTTGCGCTTCGAATGAGAGGTACCATTACCTTCCAACTAGCGCCTAGAGAATTGACCGCGCTTAGAATGAGAGGTACCAGTACCTTCCAGCTAGCGCCTAGAGAACTTGGCAGAGGTACCATTACCTTTCAGCCGGTGCTTGGTAAATTGGCAGATGTACCATTACCTTTCAACTTGTGTCTGGTAAATTGGCATTTCGTGATGGAAAGGTGTATCCTTGGCTTACCGTGCTTAAGGTAGGTAGAGCAAAACTTATTTATCATTATTGTCTCAGTGGATCTGTGTATATTATGGGTTATGATGATTATGGTTCAGGAAGGCCGAGTTGTCTCATTTGTTGAGTAGATAGTTATTGGTTGCTTGTTGTTTTCCTTTCGTGTTAGATGTATATATATGTATAGATATGAATGTGTTGGAAACGGATGTAGGTAATGTATTGAGATTGTGAATAATGTGACGGGCATCGAATACTTGTGAACATGTTTCAAAAAGGCAAATCAGGTGTAAGTCTGGAAAGTGGGAGAAAACGTAATAGGCTTTGTGAAATTGTTTTCAGGAATTTGTTATTGTCATATGAATTTTGGTAAAATGTAACAAGAAGAAAGAAAAGTGAATTGCTTCTGTTGTTGAATGAAATGAATGATTTTGAGAAAAGTTCTTATATAAGTACATTTCTGTAGAAACCGTCACATTATGTATATGATATGATATATAGCATTCATGATCATAGCTATCTGTATGTTGTTATTGTTTAGGATCATATTGGGATCCCTACTGGACTTTATGTTCATCCCACGTTGCCAATCCTTTTTCAGGTGAATGTCAAGAAGTGTTTCAAGATCGAGGATCTTCTTTATGTGTTGGCCACAGGGCATTTTATTTGTGGGCGGAATGCCATTGATGTAAAAGGGTTAAACCTTTTCTTTTAATTTAAAAGATGTAAGCCTACGGGCAATTTATTTATTTTTAACTCATGTTGCATTTACTTCATATTCGAATGAGAGAACCTTTATTAATAGTACTCGTTATTGTATTGAATTTCCTCGCATGATCTCTGAAATTGTGTTATAATAAAGGATTTAGTAATGGTATCCGTTGGCATAAAAAGTGGGGCATGACAATTTTGGTAGCGTGGAAACCTGCATTGTCTGAGTTAGTGTGATTTCAATGATAGGATATTATGGTGATATGGAGATGAGCGTGAAAGGTGTGTAACCTAGAAACAGAGGTGGTATGGTAAGAGAAACAGTAGAAGGGAAAAGAAAAAAAAAATATTGCCTTTTCGGAGGTGGTTTTTGAGAAGAGCAATGGCTCTAATTGCATGATAAAGAAAAGAAGGGACAAAAAAAATAATGTATTGAATTGAATAATAAAAATCTTAATACAAGGTCCTTTATATAGTGAAGGACAAAGATCAAGTATGGTAACACAAATAACTTTTCTATGGTAATACAATCAAATCAAATCAATTTTTTTACATATTCCACACACACACACACACACACACACACATATATATATATATATATGTGGAATATATTATAACAATAACAAAAAATTATAAATGAGTAGGACCAAATTTAGTTTTCTTTGCACAATAACACAACAAAATAAATGGATAAGTAGTATTCAGGAATTTTTGACACTAATATAACCAACATGGTACAATTCTTATCTTTAGATACTTTCATTTGTAAAATTAACTATCAAACCTGAGTAAATACAAATTCGATTTAAGATTAGCATATTCAACCAGCTGAGAAAATAAATGGATAGTAGTAAAACTTGAAACAATTATAATACTTTAACCACACAACATTTTACTCATACAATATTTGTACATAAAAAGATATCAAACATCTAATTTCATTGAGCAAACTAGTTATATTTAGGCTTGTCTAACAAATGAAGTGAAGGATCATGTGCTGTCTCTCACACATGACATGTTGCTTAGAGGTTGCATTCGAAACCATAATATAACATTATGTAGTACATATACCAATATTTTGTTTTCTTAATTAATTAGGATGACCACAAATCTAGTCATTATTGCTATTTTTAAGATTATTAAAGTGATTGCCATCAAGTTGTGCTATCTTCTCCATTTTCAATCTTTCTCATTAGCTCTAAAAATGACTTGCCGTTAAGCTTACGAGAAAAGAAATCTTTAGTATACTTTTCCATTCCAACCCTTTTGAATAATGGTGGATTTTGTAGATTTACAAGACTAGTTGTAGGTCCGATCTCTGCTTCGAACTTCGGGTTGAAGAACATTGCAATGGATATTCTCTCCTTTACTGAATTTACAGTTGCCCTGTGCTCAATGCTGTTGTATTGACCATTGCTCAATATCTGTAAATTCACATCATAAGTGAGGAAAAATAATTAGAAGTACATGTAATATCATATTATGGGCAAATTACACTTTACTCCTAAAGTATTAGCCAAATCTCAATTTAGTTTTCAAAGTATTTTTTGACAAATTTGATTCTTAAAATAATTAATTATTTCTAATTAGGCCCAATAATAAATTGTTGTTGGAATTTTTTTTTTTAAATAAAAAATAATGTGGTGTCACTTGGCGAAATGTAATATGTTACCCAACCTAAAGTCGAGAGGAGCCCATGACTATTATAAGTAATACATTTTTCAGACATTGACAATTGTTGTCTAATATATATGCACAACACTGAAGGGATAAATGTGAGAAATACAATACTTAAGAGGTAAATGTGGGAAATTATTTTTTATACATGGATTGCCATCAGGTTTGAGTTGAGTAAAATGCCACATCTCACGAAGTTGCGTCCAGATGGAATTTTTCAAAAATTTTTGAATGGTTGTTGGTTATTGGTCTAAAATTAGAAGCAAATTGGGGAAAAACGAAAAAAAAAAAACAAAAAAAGAAAAAACAAAAACAAAAACAAAAAACAAAAAACAAAATGAAAACAAAAAAAAAAAGGAAAAAAAGAAAAGAAAAGAAGTATAGGACCTAATATGAAAATTCACTAATACTTTAGGAGGAAAAATTATAATTTATCCTTGTAAATTTTTTTTTAGTTATTTTTCATCCCATGAATATTAAAAAATTCTTAGGATCAATGCAGCTCCAAACAAAATGTTGATCTTTGTCTAGGACCTAAGATAAAGGTTTTGAGCTTTGTCTGGAACAATGCAGCTCCAAACAAAATGAAATTCTTTGGTTGGCTCGCCTAGTGTGGTAGAATTAAGTTAGCAAAATGCTCATGAAGATTTGGATTATTCAGAATACGAAAGATGGATTATCTTAGATTTGTGGAAGGGAAGGTGAGACTGTGACATTTTGTTCCAGGTGACCGCTTGAGCCGTGAAAGCACTGCTCAAGTGCAGATTGAGGGCATCCAGTAGTCTTGCAGGTCATGGTAGACCGCTTGAGCAACCATTAGTTTGCTCAAACGAAGATGCAGGGCTCCCAGTATCTTGTTCTGCAAACAAAAATACTGAGAAGCCTCGTTCGCTGTTCGAGCGGACTGCTCGAAATCAACAATTTAAAAAGGCACTCTCTAGATCATTTCTTCACCCTTTTTCTTTCTATCTTCTTTCTCCTCTCCCTCTTTCTAAAAACATTAAGTTTCTTACCCCAAATCTCTCTCATTTCTCTAAGATCTAGACTAAATCACTTGGAAGGAGTGAAGTATGCGTGGAGATCATCATCTCTACCAATTTGATCTTGGCTTTGTGAAGGATTCTTCTAAAAGTCTTGCTTTCTTGCCCTTTTCTTGAGGTAGGGTTACTTTTAACTTAGTATCTCTTTGATTTGAAACTATTTACGTGGTGTGATGGTAAATATAAGACTTGATTTAAAGATTGAGTGAGGTAAAACTTGTATTTGACAAAAAAGGGAATTTTATTTGACAATTGTTGGAGCTTTACTCAACCTTTCATAGAGTACGATTATTGATGTTGGAAACTTATATATTTATGAAAATAAAGTAAAAGCCCCAAAATTATTGAAACCCTAATTTTGATCTTGATGAATAGTGATATTGTGACTAAAGTTACCTTTAGTTCTTGTAATTTTATGAATGATTACAGGATATAAGTTATAGATGGTAATAGTTGAATTGAGATTGTGATTTGGATATAAATGAAATTATAAATCTTGTTTCTGTATTTATTTCTTGTGTTATTGGAAAAACTGGTTCAAGAAGAGGTAAATTGAGTATACGTCCGGGGTAGAGAATGGGGTTTAAGTTGGTACCCGCGCGGGGACTCAAGTTGCCCAATTGCCCTATTTGCGTATATCGCCAGACGAATGTGGAAAAATGTTTTTGGGTGTCCACTGGTCGTGCCATATAATAGTCGACAAAAGCGGAAAAACGAATGATTTTGGGTGCCCACATCCTGCCGTAGTGTGGTCAGCAAATGTGGGGGATATTTTCAATTACAAATTTATGTGTATATGTATATGTGTTGGGAATCCTACAAGGGATTCATGACTTGTTTACTCCCCTGTATTGATAAAGGTTTTCTTGCAACGAGCATATTTGTTTTACTCATTCATTTTAAATGTTTAGACTTAAATCCTAAATTATTATTTTCTGAATAATAATTGTGCCATGCACGTTTACAAACGCTTAGATACCTTGTTAAATATATCTCTACTGGGCATATAGCTCATCCCTATCTAACTTTTTAGGAACTGGTGATGTGACACCATAGTAGTGACCTGGAGTTTACATTTTGTTTTTGGTTAGGAGTTGTGGCTCAAGGATAATTAATTGTGAAGACTTAAAGCCGTGTGACGGGCATTTAGAATTTATTTTGTTCTATATGGCGCCATCTTAAACTTTTGCATGCCTCTATGGCAATGACTTTTGAATTGTCTTCTAGCTTATTAAACTAGATAATGGACTTGAATTGTCATTGGTGTGTAGACCTTGGGATTTGTAATTTGAAACCTTAGTTCAATGAGAAAGAAGATTCTATGGTACTTGGCTATGCTTGGTTGTTGTATGCTCATATGATATATATTTCAGGGCATTACAGAGACGACATCTATCATTTCAGACTCTTTGAGATGATAGGTTTGCATTTGGTCCTTTTATTATTATAAATGGGACCTCCTTTTAGATGTTTAAAACCTTGACTGGTGTGTTATCATTAGGGACGGACCCAAGATTTGATCATCGGGGAGGGAGGGGGAGAGGGGTGGGGCCAAAAAGAAAAACATGAAGAATGAGAAACGTATAATGTAGAATATTTAGCAATAATTAAAATTATATTTTGAGTGAGAATACAAAAATCTCGAACATCACTATATGGAGTGTAGATCAACTTTACATGTCTATTTATGCGATGCATATGGAATTAGCCTTATAAATGGACCCAATTTGGATTGGATCTAATAAAATTTGAATCCAATCCAATTAAGTTCTTGTTCAAATTTGTTTTGAGTTTGCGATTGCCATATTTGACATTAGATCATCAAAAAACGATTTGCAAATTTTGGAAACCTGATCAAATAATCCAACCCAATTTAGTAACTTTCGCATGATCAAATAATCCAACCCAATTTTACTGATAAAGAAAGAGTGATACATAAGAGAATACACCAATCTTTATCAATAACAAAAAAGGTTGAGGATAAATCATTACTAGAGAAGCATGTGACAACTTGCTTCAAGTGACAACTCGAGTGGTGGAAATACCGCTCGAGCGGAGATAAAGTGCTTCCAATAGTTTGCTTTGCAGGTTGAGAGACCACTCGAGCGAAGATGAGGGGTTCCCAGTATCTCATTTTGTAGGCAGAGATACTGAGAGGTCTTGTTCACTGCTCGAGCAGTGAAAAGACTGCTCGAGTGGTCTGCGTGAATTCAATAACTTAAAAGTCACTTTTTAGATCATTTGTTTCACTTTGTTTTTCTCCCTTCTTTCCTCTCTCTCTCAAATTTTGAAAACCCTAGATTTGCCTCTCTCTATATCTCTCATTCTACTAAGATTCAAGCCCAAATCCCTTGCAACAAGTGGAGTGTATGTAAAAATCTTACTTTATACTGATTGGATTTCAATTCTACGAAGGACTCTTCTTAAAGTCTAGTCGTCTTGCTCTTTTCTTGAGGTAAGGTTACTTTTTAACTTAATATCTCTTTATTTTGAAGAAGATTATGTGGTTTTGTTGTGAGACCATGATACTTTATTTTGTTGATTGACCAAAAATTGAGTCTTATGTTTAACAAAAAGGGATTTTACCATGCTTTTATGAAGATTTCAAATAAATTCTTATGCATTATGAGTCTTAATGTTGAGAACTCCCACATATATGAAGAGGGCATAAAAGCCCTAAATTTGTTCAAAACTATAGTTTTGATTTTGATGAAAAATGATGTTTCGATGGAATTGATTTTCAAATCGTGAAATTTATTAGACATTAGACATAAATAAGTGGATTACTAGATTTTTTTAGTACATTATTAATGCATGTTGAATTTGGCTTGGTGGATTTGGAAATTGATAATCCAAGTGTTGTATATTTGACTATTTATCTGATGTATTTGTCAATGCTTCGTTACTTGGAAGGTGGTAAAAAAGGGGAGCTAAATAGTGTATGGGTCCATGTAGAGAGTCAGTTTTTGAGAACAATGTGTTATGTCAGTATCCGCGTGGGGAGTTAAGGTGCCCAAATGCCATGTCTTGAGCGTATTGCTAGACAATTGTGGGAAAATATTTTTGGATGTCCATTGGTCTTACCGTATAATAGTCAGCAAAAATGAAAAAAAGGATGATTTTGGATGCCTACCACCCGCTGTATTAATAGCTGACAAATGTAGAGAATTGTTTTGGTTACAAATCTATATATATGTAGTATAGGGCTCGTATGAGGGATTTGTAGCATATTTACCACCCCGTGTTGAGAAAGGTTCTCAATGGAACAAAGATGCATTTGTTTTTTTCTTGCACCTTTTATTTGTGAACATAAACTTTAAACTGCGTGTGGGTTATGATAATGCCATGTGAATGCTCAAATAATTAGATACTTTATTAAATGTATCTCTACTGGGTATATAACTCACCCATATCTAACATTTTCAGGAATTGGTGATGTGCAACCACATCAATAAGAAGATGTAAACTCTTTTGTTTTGATTGGAGCACCGAGGCTCATGGGTGTTAAGTGGGTATGGGATCAAATTTTGATTGGAGCACCGAGGCTCTTAGTTTACCGTGCATGTTTTATGTGTTTATGTGATTAAGTGGGCATGGGGATCAAACTTTTAGGATACAACTTGGATCCACTGCACTCATTGAAGTCCTTTGGGAAAGGCACCTGATCAATGCTTTTTTCACTTGGAAGTCTTTGAGCATCGTGGGAT